TTGTTCGTGATATGCATAGTCACCTCAAAGTAGATATGATTGGTGGATGTCTAACTTGCTACCAATGCATGTTACCATTGCCCTCTTCATAATTAATATGAACTCATCGGCACGACCTTTTGCCAAGTTTGGCCAAATATTTCAAAGCTATTTTTATTGAAAGTTTTGGCTCTTGCGTTAAACGTTCTTTTCATAGATAGTTGTAGGAAATCTACTTTGATTTTTGCATCTAAAGATACATACAACTAAAACCATGTCAATGGGTAAATGCTTGTTGCTGAATGATAAGTTCAATTTATGGGTAATGTCCTTGTAATTCAAGAGAGAGACGACTAATTGAAGCCTACAAATAGTTCATCTCTATTATTGCAATATACATGGTCAGGGAAATGTATATGTTTGTATCATTTGAATTGCTAGGCATTAGGTAATCCATTTCCCATGCTAGGAAATCTCGTAGCCATCACATGGTAGTGTATGATAATTTTGTAGGACTAGGAGGAATTGGGTAACCATGTATAGACTTGAAACGCAGTTTAAGATCCAAACCCACAGGTTGTTAAATGAGAGCTAATTGGGGATTACCAAGGTCTTCCAGTCCCTCAGCACTTAGAAAACTCATATGGTGTATATCAACCCTTAAAATGTTACCCCATGAGTAGTGATGTGGACATTCGCCATTGAAATGCTCCATAACATTGAAAACTTTCTGCCCGGGTTAAGAGCGCATGTCGAACCGATCTCGTATAATTTAGAGTAGCAAAGGCATTAATCATTGAACTCCCTATATTTGCTCCTCTAAAAAAGTGTGTTTACTAAGTGATCCCCTACATTTTTTAAACATTAATTCATTTATTTTTGGGCCATAGAGTTAAACTTCACTACCCAGTTATTTCATTAAATGACATCTTGATAACATACTACACTAGTTCTTCGGTAAGAGAAGTAATCGAAAGAAAGCTACAAGAAAAAATACACATCTCAATAGAAACACTACTTCCTTAAGTGCTCCCGCTAGTCCGACCAATACATTCTCCATCTCATCATTGCTTACATTGTTGGTTTTTTTTTATGTTAGGCTTATTGAGCTTGCAGACTTCTTTCTTCTTTGCTTCCTCAAGCTTGGACATTACATCATATGTAGTCTCATCACTGGAAGTAGTGCACCAACATCTAGCAGATTTCTACCAATCAGTAGATCATTGTATTTTCTTCCTAATACCAAAACTTGCATCCCACCTACATACAAATTTAAGTAGACAATGAGCTATAAATAGCGATGAATCGAAAAACAACTATAGAAAATTGCACACTTCATCATTTCCACACTTGTATACAAGGCACAACACCTGCCGCTAGTAGTGATCAAACTTGATGACCAATAGAGGCTTGCAGATGAGTTGTTGGCGAGGGCTGAGACTGGCCGACAGGCAGATGTGATTGTGCCGGTGGTCGGCCAACAGGTCAGATGTGAGTGCTGAGATGAGGAGGACATAACGCAATGCGACACGGATCAATTGAGGTGGCTACATGGTTAGGTCACCGTTGAATCCCACCAAAACACGACAAATGTTGGGGCCAGGTGCATAGAATCATATGGCAACAATGGGCATAGATCCGTCGATTTAGGTGCGGACGATGATAAGTGACTGAAAGAGACTATGAACTATGCACTTCACTATACCGGATACCCATCGATACTTGAAGGGTATAGTGATGTGAATTGGATCTCTGATGGTGATGAGATGAAGGCCACTACTAGGTATATGTTTACTCTTGGAGGTTGTGTTGTTTCCTAAAAGTCTTCCAAGCAAATGATCTTAACGAGATCGACAATGGAGCAAGAATTAACAACACTAGACACGTCTGGTGTCGAAGCAGAATGGCTTCGAGATTTTTGCCTGGACTTGCCATTGGTTGAGAAGCCGATTCTGGTCATCCTTATGAAATGTGATAATCAAACCATTATTCTCAAAGTAAAGAGTTGAAAGGACAACATGAAGTCCAACAAACACATAAGAATAAGATTAAAAGCTGTCAGAAAGTTATGAAACTCCAAAGTGATAGCATTGGATTATACCCAAACGGCTAAGAATCTGGTAGATCCCTTTACTATAGGGCTATCACGTGTTGTGATAGATAATGCATCGAGGGAGATGTGTACGAGACCCACGTGAGTTGCCATGGTGGTAACCCAACCTATGTGATCGGAGATCCTATGAAGTAGGACCTGGAAAAACAAGCCAGTGGTGAACTGAGGAGAGTAACTTCACTAACCCACTCTGTTAGAGATGCAATGCTCTCGGAAATCGTATGGTAGGTTGACTAATGTCTTAATGTGTTTCTAAGCTTATATAAGCAAGATGCTATCGTACATAGCGATCTTTGGAGGAACACACCTATATGAGTCCGACTACCAGTCACAGTCTTTGAGATTGGTGTGATCTCTAATAAGCTCATGAATAGGCCAGGAGTGTGACTAATATGCTCCACCCAAGGAGTCAGCCTTCAGCAGTCTAGTACTAGTAAGACATCTAGTGAACTTACGCAAAACTGAAAAGTCGAGGCATAGTCCATTGTTTAGTTGAGAATGAGTGTAGCTGGCTACATGCGCTAGTGGAGCTCAACCTTAACAACCACTGAAATACTGGTATATCAAAACAATGTTTGTAGCAAAGGACAATATGGGCCCTCGAGATCTGGCGCGGATTGTTGAAATATTAGGGTGGGCCTACGGCCCATCTAACAATTTCAGAAAAATCTCTAAGGGCCCATGTGAGTTAAATGACAATAGATGTGGTGGGAAGTTTAGTCCCATACTACTAGTTAGAGAAGAAGTTGGACCTTCTTATAAGGGATTCTCTTCCACATGCTGTTGGAGCCTAAAAAGAGAAGTGGTTCCCGCGCGCTCCTCAGCCGCCGCCCACCTCGCCACACCACGCCTCGTCATGATGCGTTGTGGGTTGCGGGAATAAGCCGAGCCAAGCTCACACCTATGCGGTCGATGATCCGAGGCGTCAAATCATGGACAGTTATCGACTCGGACGTGGGTCCATGCCACGTCTCTCCACACGGTTGCGCTTATGTATGTGAGGCATCTGCCAACCCTAGCCGTCACGTGAAACATATCACATCTACCTCCACACACCCGTCGTTCCATTGCTGCTACTGCTGCCGGTGACCCATCCCGTACGCCGTGTACACAGTCAATGAGAGAGCAGGCCTCCAAAGTTCTACCTCTTTGGATCCTGTATGGAAGAGGGGTGATTAGGTGGGGAGCGTCACATACGTGACTACTCGCCGCCGTTCGCCCACGTCTGCTGCATCGTCTTCATCGTCACCATATTCATCGACGTCGACAGAGCCGCCGACAATAAGGCCGTCGAGGATGCTGTTGCTGAGACCGTTGCCGCGGCAGCTTCCGCCTGGCCTACTGGAGGGCATAACTCGTTTATCTCGCTCATGTTTATCTCTGTGTTAGCCGTACTAGCATTATATGTAGATGTGTCTACTGTTTGCGTAGTACGTGCTTATCTAGGTCGTAATCAATATGTCGTAAATTCTGTCAATGCCATGTTCATGATTATTTCCTAGATTAAGTTAATCGATAAACTGCCAGTTTACTCAGCAACTATACCACCTTTTTATTTCCTATAGAGCCCAAATAGACAAGAAGAGTATATCTTCCAGTTCGCTTGATTCTAGACGTGTTGGCCGTTGTGAGGAACAGGAGGTTGCTTGTTCTGTAGCAGCTTTACACGCTAACAGAGCTGTCTTTATACTAGGTCGGACATACAAGGAATAGGGGATTGCTTGTTCGATCCGTAGTAGCTTTACAGCCTAATAAAGCGGTCTTTGTATTAAAGAAGAAGGTGGTGAAATAATCCAGTTCCCTGCTCCTTGGGAAGAAAAGAGGAAATATTCGAGTCTTTGAGGTTCCACTATAGTATACATATGCTTTCATTGACGTGCACAGTATAGCAAGTATTACTCCTAGATTCTAGCTCTGACGTATGCATGCGTGCCATTGTGGGCACAAATTAATGTCCGACTCCTTTTTATATTTTTTTTAAAGAAGCAGGAGCACTGCTATGTCATCTATAAGGAGGAAGCAAGCAAGTCTTTACATATAATTTGATAGGGTTACATAAGAAAGTAAACACACACACGAGAACAAACTTAAAAAAAGGCTCCACCTCTGGGGTGCCACGCATGCAGCTATGCGCAGCCCCACCTTTTCATTCATTAGCCCAAGCACACGCCAAGTTAGAAATGATTTATGCTCGAAAATCCTCCCTTTCCTCTCGTTCCAAATGTTCTCACACGGTGTACATGATAATGGCAGCCAAAGAGAGCACCCTGCTGTAGATTCTTGCTCCACCATCCCTCAAAAGAAGGTTCATCCTGCCGTGGTCATAAAATAGGCAACCTAGTCCAATGCTAGCCCATATGTGTGTAAACAAAACAATATTTCACATTGCTAAGTTGATCTCCAAACCCATGCATGGTATTTAATTAGAGCTAGCTAGTGCGTGTCTTTTTAAATCTCAATTGTCCTCCAACTCATTCATGTTCTTGTCTAGTTGGATATGGATATGTACTAAGATCGAGTTAGACAAAAATGAAAAAATAAGATTGACGAAAGGTTATCACTATGTGGGGCAATCATAAAGAATCAATTCGCTATTGCTTGCTTGCCAATTGGAAAAGGATAAGGTATAATATTCGACTCTTTGCCCTCCGGCTGGGTTTTCCTCCTTTGCTTCCTCTGTGCGCGTGGTATGGTGCGGTGTATACACTACAGCAATAGTTTTTTTTTTTTGAGAAATAGTAGTGTAACAACCACTATAAATGCTGCCTCGCCCGGCCATGACAACACACCTCAATTCGCATGCAAAAGAGCAAGGCACCTCCCTCTCGATCCACCTAGCAAGCTAGCTACAGTATAATTGAAGATGAACTGAGTTAAAATCAGGCAGGCTCATCAGAGATCCTCGACGATGGCCGCCCTAACCCAAGGCGCCATTGACGGGCTGCTGGGCGTCGCGGCCAAGGCGATCACCGACGAGGCACAACTGATCGGCGGCGTCCCCGGCGACATGCAGTTCATCAAGGATGAGATGAACAGCATGAATGGGTTCCTGCTGCACCTGACCAAGACGGAGGGCCAGCACGACGACCAGGTCCGCGCATGGATGAAGCAGGTGCGCGAGATCGCCTACGTCGCCGAGGACTGCGTCCAGCGCTACATCCACGACATGGTCCCGAATGAAGCTGCTTGTTGTAGATCCCTGGGCGCCCTTGCCGCCATGGCGCACCTACTCCTCCTCCACCCCAAGAAGTTTCGTCGGCTCCACACAGGGCCGTCTCCAGAAATTTGGGGGCCCGGGACGAAAATCGAAATAGGGCTCTAAATTTCCAAAAACAAAATACATATAAGTGAAGACCCAACGTAAGTGAAGCAAACTTTCACTTGATTACATAACTTTAAATATTTGTTATTTCGTATAATTTATAAAATATATCATATATGAGCTCTTTTCAGCACGGGAATCATACCTCCTTCTAGGAGTACATGATTGATGATTCTTCTTGTTTTATAAAACAAACACAACTAACATGAATCAATCTACAATATGAATAACACTATAGCTAATTGAATAAAATTATACTTTATCTTGACGTAAGTTTATGAAAAAATGTTTAATAAAAAATTAACATACCCTAGCAACATAAAATCGAGCCTCCTATGAAAGACTTACGCTAACAACGGCGGCAAGGGACGATGCACCGTGCCGCCGACTCTGCCGTGAGGCATGGCCGTCCGGCAGCAGCATACACACGTCTGACCCGACGTCTGCCGCCCTCGCCCAGCCGGCAGCCACCCTCGCCCTGCTCCAAAGTCCAGACCTCTTTCTCCTCAATCTAAGTGCAATCGATGGCTAACCCGAGCGAAAATGCTACGTGAGATTGGATCGGGAGTGCTAAGCGGGAGTCACGGAAACTAACAGGCAGGCTGTTGGGCTGTGTACATGCATGTATTGGTTGATTGCAAATCAAAGATCGGAAGTGTTAGAATGGGCTGCCGGCGTGTGCGTGTATTGTTTGTTCATTGCCACTTTTTTTTTCTATATATAGATAGGCATTATTTGCTGGACCGGGGGCCCCAAAAATTTGGGGGCCCTGTGCGGTCGACCAACTTCACCTCCCTCATCAATGGGGCTGACTACGTGGTTGTACATGAGGTAGTTGTAGGATCGGGAGTCACTGGAAAGCACACTAGTACGGGGGCGACTGGTTAAACGTGGTTCTGCTTTATATTAGTTTGCACAACCGGAACTGGCAGAGCTCTCCAGTACCCAGATATTAGTGACTGCTCAAAAATGATTTTAAATTTGGGATTTCATTCTAGCTACCTGGTTTGTCCCATTCCAGAACAGGTTGACTTTAGCATGCCCAGTTAACCCAGCATTACTGAGACCCTAAGTCGTGCCACATTTGTGGTGAGGCCATCGAACATCAAGCATGAAGATTTAGTTTTTAGATAGGTACCCTTGACTTTTTGAAGAGTAACATTACCGAATAAAACTGGATTGTCGGAAAATTGTGCTGATTTTTACTTGATGGGTTAGCGGTTCAACGATGATGACGTCTTCTAAAATGTATGCATGTGGTGTATGATTTAGATTTGTTGCACCGGCTGTAGGTTCCGATACCTTATGTGGATGAATCGGCGACCACGCCAGTTTTAGATATTGAGAGTGAGAGCATTCAACATTATCGAGTTTATAGGTGTGAGTGACAGCTTCGGGTGTTTTGATGTATGTTCTTGTCATACCTCTGTTGAATAATTAATAAAGATGGCTGCATGCATCGGTTGATGGAGAGGCAGGCGGTTTTAACCTCCTTAAAAAATATCTTCCTGCAGCCCAGTCGCTTCTCCGAGCGTTTTTTGTCTCCTAATGATCCGACGTGGCATAGTCCAGCAAGTGCCCAGCTACAGCGACGTTTTTTTGTCTCAGTTGACACGGTAAAAATGAACGGCGTGGCTATCGCTATTTCTCGCCCTACAGTCCCCTCTTGGAGAGTGTAATAGTTTGTTACCGAATAGTTTGTCATGTGCTATTTGCTAGTCTACCTTCTTCATTCGATTTCGTATCCCCGATTAACCAAGCAGTAATACCATCCCTCTAACAATTCAGTAGAAAACATGCAAATCACTCGTATCCACAACTAGGCCAGGCCTGAAGGTTCAGCAGTTTATTGTATACTGAAGAATCATCCGAATAAAGCATTTACATCTGACAATAAAATACTCCATCTGTTTGAAAATCTCTCCCTAATAATAAAGCATGAATTGAGTTTCTGGGTTCACCGTCGAGGCGTTTTTGCAAAAACGTCCTTGAAGTTTTCTAAAATTAACCCACAGTCCAATTGATAAGTCAAGCCGAATCGGTCTGTACGAGAGAAAATAAAAAAAACACCCAGATGACCCACGACCCTTCCGTCTTCACCTCCAACGCCAGCGCGCCGCCACCCCTGCCACGGCGCCGCGCGGCGCCGGCGCCCCGAGTGCCGCCGACCCCGACGAGCCCTCTGTGTCCTGCATGATAAGTCGACATGCCCTGGCTCTAGGGTTCCCTCCGCCGCCACGCCCCCATCCCTCCCTCTCCGTGGTGCACGGGGCAGGGGGAACCGGGCGACGGCGACGGCGGCGGCGTGATCTCCGGCAAGCGGTTGGGGCGAGCGGTGGGGACGGGATACAGTGGCGTTGGTAAGCTCCTGTAGATCGGCGTCGAGGAGAAAGAGGGATTGAGTGAAAGGGAGATGCAGGGGAGAGAGGGGAAGGAAGGAGAAGAAGAGGAGCTTGGGAAGTGGGGCGTAGGAGAGAGAGAGAGGCCGGAAGGAAGGAGGAGAAGGAGAGATGGCAGGGGGAAGCCTGTGTGGTTGCTCCGGCGATGGCATCCGGCGGGGTCAGGCGGGGGTTAACGCCCTTGCCATGGTCGGGGAAGCTGGTTCATGGAGTTCCCGGAGGCCGGCCTTAAGATATGTGCAGCAGCGAGCGAGTGGAAAGATAGCTTGTGCGGCCGGGAGACAATTGATGGTATGTAGCCACGACCGCATGCTCCTTATTCATACTCTTTTCATTCTTCTCTGATCAATTCAGTCCATGTACTGCTTCACGTTACTAATCTTATAAAGATACATTCAACTATCTCCTATGTACACAGCTATGAAAAACAATGTGAGTTAATTAGGTGAGGAGATGAAAAAGAACGAGGAGTTTTGGGGGACAGAGATCAAGTGGCGGCCCTTGAGGAGCGGGGACGGATGCCGCATCCGTACGCCGGCAGGGAGAGCGTACCCGGGATAATCATAGATAAGGCAGAGGGTGAGGACGGAAGCCTTGCAGGGAAGAGAAGCAAGCTCGAGCTGTAGGTTACAATTTGGTCCTGGGAAGAGCTGATTTTGGTGAAGCTAGGGTTCTACGTCCATGGCGAATTCTGCAAACACCACAGGCTCGTCCAACCAAGGGGAAAGGAGGCCTGTGTCAATCGTTTTCCTCAATGCCATCCAAGTATGTATTCATTTTCCTGTAATCTCTGTGCTGATCACCAACCTGTGTAGATGATCTTGATTGCTCTCTGAACACACTTTGAATATTCTAGATTTGTGTGCCTACTCTGTGCTGCCCACCGACATATGTATGTGATCTTGATTTCTCTCTGATCTCATTTCGAATATTCTGGATCTGTGTGGCATAGCCAACCATCATGCCTTTTAGAATTACAGAACTTATGCGGATTTGATTCAGAAGTTATTTTGTCCAGAACAAAAGGCACTCAAATGATGCTACTCCCTTTTGATATGAGAAAAGACACATACACAATCTGTTTGCAGTCATAACTATAGAGCAGTGGCAAAATCTGCTTTTATTCTGCACTCGCCCTTGTGATCTCCAGTGTATTAACACCTACCCCCTGCTAGGTGACAACGATGTGCTTTGCAGTTTACTCCTAGGCATGGCCACACGATCTGCAACGGTGCAGTCACCGCATGGTCCCTCAATAAGAAGTACCCACTCCTCTCTCATTTTGTCAAGGGACTACCTACTCTTGCTATTCTCACCTGCAGCCCGCCCCACTTAGGCACTTAGTCCAATGATAAGTCGATGCAGGTCCTTCGATCCACAATAACAAACCAGCAAGTAATGCATGCTACTATTTCTTATTATCTTCTATAAACTCTAAATTTAATGTTCCCCACAAAAAAAAACTCTAATTTAATGCGCACTATATTGATGCAAAAATATGCAACCTCGATTCAGTTTTGTTTCATCAAGATCCTCTATTCTTTCCCCTACTTTATCGTGATCTGCACATAAAAGAATGGTTGGTATGATCCTTTCTATTCACGTGCTGTATCTTTATATGCTTAACTTGATCAATTGTTCTTCGCACTTTTGCAGTTTACTGATGGCTGAGTCTATAGGATGATTCCGTTGTATTGCCAGAATTTATTTTCCAACATTATGCTCTATCTGAATTATTGTTATTGGAGTGTCCTAACTTCATCATTTGTTTAGTCAAGCGGCATCATTGTGCACATATGTGGAATTGGGCTTAATGTTTCCCATTAAGTTATAAATTGTTACAAGAATCTTTTTTGATCAAAGTAGACAGTATTAGAACCAAACGTTCCTACATTGGCCATATAGTTTACCAACGTCCTTGATTTCAGTTATCAACAAAAGGCATGCATACACTTAGCTACATTATAGCCATCTATATATATCCATTAGACTGTTTCCTTGCAAATATTTGATGTGTTTGTAGGAGCGGCTAATCCAGAGATGTGTTGGTGACAGTACATAATTGAGAGAATTGCATGAGTGCCTCACCATTTTGACAGCCTTCCATGGTCTACGTTTTATGAGCAGAACTTCTTTGGTTAATCTCTGACCCTTTCAAGATGTAAGGAAAAATAGTCAAACAATGGCCATTAGATATTTAGGAAAGGCCACTAAAGATTATTGCACCATTTGAAAATGAAAATTTTGAATCTTTCATGCAGTTCGCACATTTATATGACCCAAGTACTGATGATGTCGGTCAGTGCATTTGTTGAGTTTTTCTACTTTTCTTAATTGAATATATCAGTTTTGTCTCATAAGGGACATACCCAGATTGCAATCTCATTGCTAAAGAAATGCATTGCTCCAACTCCAGTTAGCCATCGCACAGCGGAGCTAATTAAGTGTCTTTCCAGGTTTAGCATATTCTAAAAGAATTGTACTTGCACATCTATGTGTTCTGACAGTATGTGAAGCTCAAGTAGAACCGTATAACCAGTCTAAAGATAATATATTTCTGAACACTGCAAGTCACTCCAAATTGTCTCTTTCTTTGAATGCTTGACCTAGCCAAGTTTTGTTTTATTTTCAGGTCTCATTCCCTTTTGTTTGGCCTACATGAGCGCATCTATGTGGTGAGGTTCAATTAAGAAAAAATAGTGATCCAGTTTCTTTGATGATGCTGTGTATAATTGATTATCATGCATGTTTCCATCACCACCAATTATAATGGTACCTTTTGTTATTCCCCAAGCCTGAAAGAGGAGGAGTTAAAAAGTAATTTTCTTTAGATGAAGAATATCACAAACATTTAATTTTCATTGCAAAATTGATAACATTTACTAACCATTTTTTTTCCATTCTTGCACCGAGTAAGTGTTTGGGAGTTGGAATATATTTTCACGTAGGATCTCGGCTGCAAATGATTACATAGAAGCTCCTTTAGTATTTGGCCGTTTAGAGAATTTAGCTTTTATTATTAGGGTAGTACTACGATAAGTTAGCAGCGGTGTTTTTCAGAAGTAACATTATACCTCATGCTAATATATCACGCTACTGTTGAAAGGTGCTAATGTAGAGAACTCTACAAATTAGTGAATGCCTACATTTTTTTGACCTATTTTTGTTACTCAAGGAGAGAGAGATAGAGAGTAATAAGAAAAAGAAGAGGTCATTGCTGCCACGATGCACACCATCCTGAAGAAATGTTCTCGGGATGACGGCGTCAACGATGCAGCAGCATTCAGATGCACGAAGAAGATGTTCCTCTGTGCTCTTTTTGCTTACCCTTATGCCACAAATCAAGAGCTGGAGAAGCTCAAGGAGAAATTAGAGGGACGAGCCCAAGATCCCAAGAAGGAAGTGATGATCTTCTGCTACAGCATGCTGTCCATGAGCCAGAAGAGTTGCCTGCAGTATCTAACTGCTTTCCTCCATGAGACGGAGATCAGCAGGACAAGCATGGTCAGGCGATGGGTCGCCGAAGGGCTCGTAGGTAAAGAACCAGGAGGAGCAGGAGGAGGAGGAGGAGCAGGAGGAGGAGGGACGACTCCAGAAGAAGAAGGCGAGTGCTACTTCAATGAGCTTGCATT